AAACGGGACATGGTTTTGTCCGTTCTCTTTTTTTTTTTTCGTTCAGTTCATTTTTTTTTTTTACAAAGAAATTCAGCGGAAGCGCCTACGTCGGAGCACAACAGCGACGCCCCCCAGCAGCGCGGCCCCCAGCAGAACACCGGAGAGAAGCTTCGCCCGGCGCCATCGCTCCGCCGTGGCCCGGCAGGCGGCCCGCTTTGCCTCCAGCGCCTCCTCGAGCGCCCGCTCGGTCCCCTGCTCCATCCCCGGATTGTTGAACCACTCGAGTTTCGTAATACCGCAGTTGCGGGAGGCGACCGCCACCACGAGGTCCCGCGTCTCTTCATCGGAGAGCTCGCACGAGCAGAGGTCCAGCGACTGCAGGTGCCTCATCGACGACACGCACTTAATCAGCGCCCGCCGCCCGGCGGGTCCAACCCGGCAGCTCGCGCCAAGGTCCAGGTGAACCAGCCGACTGCTCTGCGTCTGTTCCACCGCCTCGGCGATGGCCGCGAATCCCACGTCACCGAAGCAGTTGATGGAAAGATTCAACGACTCCAGCCGTGAGTTGGATGGCAGAATGAGGTACCTCGCCACACTCGCCGCCCCTGCATCCCCAATCTGGTTATCGCTGATGTCAAGTATGCGCAACGAAGGATGCCCCGTTAAGGCCTCGGCGATCATGGAGGCGCCGCGGTCACCGAGGACGTTTAATGCTAGCGACAATTGTTGAAGATGCCTACTTGAGCAAATGCCGTCGCAGAGAGTTGGTATGCCGCGGTGGGTGAGGTGGTTGGAGAGCAAGATGAGTGTTTCTATGCGGAGCTCTTGCAGTAAGTGGGCCACGTACAAAAGCGACTCGTCAAGGATGCCGTTCTCGCCCAGGTCGAGATACTTCAGCTTGCGGCACTGCTTCATGAGGGTGTTGCAGAGATGCTCCGCGCCTTGAGGGGCTATTTTGTTATCCTTGATGTCCAGCTCCGTCAGGTTCGCCATGCCACTAATGTACTTGTCCACAATCTCAATGAACATTTCCTTGCTGAGGTTGTTGCCGGATAAGTCGAGCGAGCCGACGAGCGCGGGGTCCGGCACCGCGGAGGCGAGCGGCTGGGTGGCAAGATCCCCGTAGGAGAGACTTATCTCCAGCATCTCCCACCGCTGCGTCGATTGCAAAATGTATCTTCCCTTCCTTTCCTCGCGACCGAACGCGGGGAGGGAAGCCACAGGACACGCGGGAGAAGAAAACGGCAAAGAAAAAAGGGTGTAGGATTAAAGAGAAAGGGGGAAACCGAACCACAACAACAACAAAAAAAAAGCCACCAGAGCCGTCACGTGAGCGGGACGAAAATGTTTTTTTTTTAATGTGGGAGCGGCGTTGGCGTGGCCGCCGCGGCAGCCTCCGTGAAGACACACGCCCCGTTTCGTTCTTACCGGCGTCTTACGTTGGCCGCTGTTACTCGTCGCGGGCACCGCCGGCCGCTGCCTCCGCCCGAGCGGCAATGGCGGCCGCGGCCGCCCCGCACCACTCCAGCGAGCGGTGGGCGATGCGTTTCAGCCCCACGCGGAGCAGAACGCCCAGCCGCTTGTTGCGCGAAAGTGGCTGGGGGCCGCCACCGTCGTCAGTGTGCGCCGCGGCCGAGCCGCCGCTGCCGGCGTCCCGCAACCGCCGCTCATCCTCCGCCAGCGACGTGCCTGAGAGGTCGAGGATGCAGCGGACCGTCTCGGCAATTGCGGCGACGACGCGCGCCTCCGTCGCGGCGCTCAAACACGCAAATGGGCCGTGCCGCTCCAACCCGTCAAACTCCCCCGCCTCCGCCAAGTGCACGCGGAGCAGCGCCACGAGCGCGGGCGGCGGGCGGCCGTCACTGCCGATCCAGCAGCGGCCCGCAAGGTGCAAGGCGTATTTCGCCACCAGCGCCGCCCGCCGCTCGTCCCACTCGTCGGCGACGACGCCCTCCGCGAAATCAGAGGGGAACGGCAACTTGTCGTGGGCGTTCTCCTCCATGACAAACCCGTAAAACTGCAACAGCTCCCAGTTCTGCAGGGGGCCGTAGCTCATCCACAGTTCGCGACCCACGTCCTGCGCCGTCAGGCTCGCCCCTATCTGCATCACAAAATCCCCCCCGTTGGGTTCGACCCTTCGCACCAAGACATCGCTGCGGTTGCCGTGGTTGATCATGTCCGCCACGGGCACCAAGGCAAGTACGACGCGCCCATCCACATTTAAGTTGAAGGCGCGAGAGTCAAACGTCGCGCGGGCCCACATCATCGCCTCGAGCGAGAAGCAGTCCAGGAATTCCTCCTTTCCAAGTCGGCAGCTCCCCGCAAGAGCCTCATAGACGATAGGCAAGACCGCCATAGTCTCCGTGTGAAACTGCACCAACTGTGCCTTCTTGGCCAGCACGTCATCCAGCACGTCAAGGCCCTCCAGCTCTGCGAGGTCATCCCAGCCCCAGAAACTTGGGACGGTGGGGTATTCGCCGGGGCACGACAACAGCAGGTCGCCCCAGTGCGACGACTCCGCCACATACCGCTCATAGACAAGACAAAGAACGAGGAGTGGCTCATCGCCGGAGATCATGCTCGACAATTCGCCAGAGGCATGAACCACCCGCCCCAGCTCGCAGTATTGCACAACGGTGTCGATAAAGAACATGCGATCGCGAGGTACACGCAGAAAATCACCAAACGCCGGTAGTGGTGCGTTGCAGACGAGCGAGCCCTCCACGCCAGGCGCGGCGGGGAGCACAATGTAGGGAGACGCCTCGGCCCCCCGCACGACGGGTTTCGGGCCAACATGTGGGGTGGTGGCGGCCGGCTTCAGGGCGGTGGTCATATGCTCGTCAAGCGCCTCACGCAGCCGAGCTGCGGCTCCGGCGTCCTTCATGCGATCAATGCGCAGTCGCAGAACCTTCACCGCCAGCTGCTCGTTCCAAGCGTCCACGGGCCGCTTGAAGGCCTCCGTAAACGCGGGGGAAAGGTGCTCCCACACCACGCGGTGGTCCGCGGCAATGATGCGGCACATCCACAGCAGTCGGGAAAACTCGCTGCCTCCACGCTCCTCGAGTGCCTGCCGGTCCAGGAAAAGCCGCTTCACGGCGGCGCAATCGCCAGCATCCAGTTCTGCCTCAAACCAGGCCTTTGATTCCGTTTCCAAGGCTGCCATCCGGCAGCCACCTCCACCTCCACAGCAGCAGCAGCTACTACAACCCTTCTTGGTATCCTTTTTTGTTTTGGCAGGCAACAAGGAGGCGGCGGCGGTGGTGGCGAGGGAGTTAGACGGGAACGTAAAGAAGATGGTGGAAGCGGTTGCGTGAGTTGTGCGTGCGCCCCGCCCACGCTGAGAGACAACGTAGGCAACGAACTCGCACCAGTTACGCATTGTTTTTCCTCTCCCTTTGTTCTGGCTGTTGTTTGCTCCCCTCATGCACACGCGCCTTCGCTGTGCGGTCGGGCCACAACAAACCAACGACGTGCAGCCTCTCTGCTCGCGCCGAGGCGCCCCCCACCCCAATCAGGCGTAGGCGCCAGGCCGCTTCCCGCCGCCTGCACGCCCTTCGCTGCCTCGGCATGCCACGCCGCCGCCACCAGAAACCCGCCGTATTTCACCTCCAGGGATGCATACTTGCCGGGAGCGGGTCGACGCACCCCGGGCGCCCTCGCGTCCTCCTCGCAGAGGCCGCGGAAGGCACGAAAGACGCGTCCATCCGCGACTAAACCACCCACGCAGTGGCCTTCCAGAAAGAAGTCACGTCTGGTGACGTGGCCACGGCACCCGAACTGCAAACTGCGACGCCGTGTAACGGTCGAGCCCCGGCAGGGCAGCAAGTGAGTCTGCGGCGGCAAAGTCACCCCTCCTCGCCTCGAGGGCAGCCGTGCATGAGCAGGTGCGCGTGTCTAGAAACAGCCAAAACGAAGGGGGGACGAAGGCCTCTGCGTCGTGAAACAGCACATGCACCCCGCAGCCGCTTCAGGCCGACACACACGGACACAGACACAGACACACACAGAGGCAGCGGCAAAAATCATGAACATAAAAGAAAAAAAAACAGCTCCTCGCTTTATCAACTGCGGCGGAAACGTGTGTTGCACGGCACACAACCACACACGCAGAACCGCCGGTGTAGCACGCGTTAGGGTTAGGAAGCAAAACAAAACGGACGGGTAAAAACCAGAAAATTTTGGATCAATAAATGGTAAACAAGACGTAAAAAAAAAAAGTAAACCTTCCTCAGTTTGTGTTTGCTTTTTCCTTGATGTGGCAGTTCGCCAGGCGCTCCAGCACACCGAGCACCGCTGAGTTGTCCTTGTCGCCCTCGCCGTTCTGCACCATCGACTGGAACAGCTGGGCGTTGACGGCGGTGCTCGGCAGCGGCGCCCCGAACTCCTTGGCGGTGTCCATCACGATACCGAGGTCCTTGCTCTGTAGCGCGGCCTTAAAGCCGGGCTCGCGGTTGCCGGTAAAGAGGCGCGGGGGCTTCACGTCAAGCGTCCAGCACTGCGCGGCCCCACCCTTGACCGCCTCAATCACTCGCTCGGCGTCGACGTCGCACTTCTCCGCAAAGACGAGCATTTCTCCCATGGCCACCATCTGCGCCGCCACCATGATCTGGTTGACGGCCTTGCACACCTGCCCGGCCCCGCTGGCGCCGATGTACGTGATCTTCTTGCCCATCGCCTGCAGCACAGGCAGGGCCTTCTGCGCCGCCGCCTCGTCCCCGCCGACCATGATGGTGAGGGTGCCGTTCTTGGCGCCGATGTCGCCCCCAGAGACGGGGGCGTCGAGGCAGCGCACCTGCTTCTCCGCCCACATCCGCTCCGCGATCTCTCGGGCGGTGGACGGCTTGATTGTGCTGTTGTCGATGAAAATGCTCCCCGCGCGAATGCCCACATGGACGCCGTCCTTGCCGAACACCAACTCGTAGACATCGGGGGAGTCGGAGACGTTCGTAATGACGATGTCCACCTTCGACGCGAGGTCCGCCGGGGAGGTCGCGGCCTGCGCGCCCTGCCGCACCAACTCCTCCATCTTCGCGCTGGTGCGGTTGAACACCGTCAGCGGGAAGCCGGCCTTGAGGATGTTGGCGGCCATCGACCTCCCCATGAGGCCAAGCCCAATGTAGCCCACCCGCAGTGGCATTTCGCCTCTTCCTTCCTTCTCTCTTCTCGCTTCTGTGGCGCTGGCCGTTGCTCCCGTTCCTCCTTTTCGACCTTTACCTTATCGCGTCTTCTGCGTTGGCAGCGGTCAAATGCAACAACAACAAAAAAAAAAAACTCTGACGATCTTGCACCGCTGGGCCGACAGAAAAGAAGAAAACAAAAAACAAGATAAAAGAAAAAAACGCGAACCTCAGAGGAAGCAAGACCACAAGACAAATGCCTGTAGATGTGCAAATCTACACAAATAAGAACGCAGGGAATGAGGCCCTACAAAACATTGTTGACAAGCGATCTCCTCACGACAGCAAAAAAAACTCCCGCCGCATGCCCTCTTGCAGGCCATCGAAGCAGGCCACCGGCGGTATCTCGAGCACTTCCTCGACATTCGCCGCCTTCACGGATGCCGGTGTCCAGGCCTCATGTTTTGACTGAAACACGTTGTACGCAATCCGGCCGATGGGCGGCGAAAGGCCAAGCCGGGCACGAACGTTCGACATGTGCATCGCCAACGCCTTCGAGGCCTGAAAGACAAACACGCGTACCGGCAGTGGCGTCCGTCCCGGACACGAACGCCGCACGAGAGCGATAAACTCCATACAGTCGGCATGCGACGGGTTTGTGTTATCCACGACAACACTTTTGCCGGCGTCCCACCACCTTGCGGACTCCGACAAGCACTTCGCCTTTGTCTTGAGGGTGTCGCGGTTAATGTGGATGTAGCCAGCCGGCCGTAAAAAGCGGCTAAAAAACGTCGTCTTGCCGCAGCCAGGGTATCCCACGAATATCACCATCTCCTGCGCCGTCCTGTGGAACACCGCGGGGGCGGACGTCGCAAAGCTGCACCGCTCACCTTCCGCGTTGATGCGGTGAAGCGTGAGGTGTTCGTACGACGACGGCAGATTTTCAAGCTCACTGGGGCCCAGGCCGCCCCAGTCCACCTCGCACGGTGCAGCCGCCGCCGCTAGGAGACGCTTGGAGATGACTTTCCCCGCTGCCTTTGGCGCGCTGGCGCCGTCGCCGTCAAACAGTTCCGTCGGCGGGCAGCGGTAGAGCTGCTCCGGCGTAAGAAACGGCACATCGGCATTGAAGGCAAACTTGCGGTCGGAGCAACTAAAGTCCTTCTTTCGCCCCGCCAAGGTGGGGGTCTTGCGCCCAGCGGCGTCTCCCACGTAGAGGGCGCACCCAGGAGGGTCGCGGGCCACAAGCAGCTTCTCCGACACGGCGGCACTCGCGTGGTCCTGGAGCAGTCCCCACATTCCCACGTTCGGCTTGCGCCAGACGTCCTCCTTCGTGGCAAGAAAGACGGTCAACGGCAGCGCAAGTGCCTCGCTCATGTTGACAATCTTCTGCTTGACGCTCTCCGCCTTCTTCTCATTCCACGCCTTCCCCCCGATACCGGCCTGGTTGCTCAGGATGACAACCATGAAGCCCGCATCGTACAACAGCCGCAGGTACTGCGGCACGACCGGCAGCAACCACCTCCAGTCCGTGGGGCTGTCGCGAGGAAACACCGCCCCGCTCCGCGGCAGAATGAGTGTGTCGTCCAAGTCAAAGGCGGCCACCTTGAGGTGCAGGCCCTTTCCAGGAACGCCAAACAGCGAGCGCCGCACCGCATCGGCAGACGGCAACAACGCCAAAACGGAGCCGTGAAGAAGCTTCCACTCACTAAGCAAAGAATTTGGCAAGGCTCTGGCTCGTAACTCCTGTGGTGATGGACTCCTGGCGCGCTTCATCAAACTTGAGCTCCTTCTCTTCGGCGCAAGATGAAAGGGGCTGAGAAAAATTCGACCAGGGGTGCATGTGAGACACCCCGAGCCGTTTCCACAGATGCACAAAGAGCCCGCTGCTGCTGCTGCTGCTGTTTTGCCTGTTTGTTTCCCACCCAACCCAACCCCACCCAGAGGGGGGGGCAACGTACGAAGGTCATCCTGCAGCTTTTGCCTACTCACTTTTCTCCACTTCTTCCTCTTATCTTTGGTCTCTTTGCGTTACTCCTCCCTTCCCCCACGCCTTGCATTAATGTGACGAGCGGAGCTCCTGCTGCAGCAGCTCCATCTTCTTGACCACGCCAAAGGTGGCCCTAAACACCCTCTTGCAGTCCTCCTGGCTCATTGCCAGGAACACCGAGACGTCAATCTCCTCCTGCTCCAGCACCGGCGTGAGTGAGGCCATCCCGCGCCCCTCGAAGTGGCGCTTCAGCAGCTGCACGCCGGCCGCCCCGTCCTCGTCCGTCGCCGCCGCCGGCGACGGGGCCGCCTCTTTGGCCGCCTCCGGCAGGGCATCAGGGGGGAGTGTGGCGGCGGCCAGCGCGAGCGCGCGCGAGAGCCTTCCCAAGAAGGCGGCGCTTGCCCAGCGCCTGTACTCCGCAAGCACCTCCGCCGCCGTCGGCGTCTCCGCCGTGTTCGTGAAAACGGCCTCCTTCAGGACCTTTTCTTCCAGAATGGCGCCCCACCTCTCCGTGTCCCGCGTGGCGTCGGTGGCCAGACGGCGGCCAAGACGACTCCGCAGCTCCTCCAACTTCTGCACTGCCTGCTGCAGCCGCGCCAGGTAGCCGTCGGCGCCACCGGAGACCTCGCCGTAACACGCAGTCAGCACACGCTGCGTCTCTGGAAACTTCTCCAGCGCCGTTGCCACCTGGTGCGCCTGCTCACGGAGCCTCCAGACCTCCAGAAGGGGAGATCCACCGGGCTTCTGGAGGGAAAAAAAATCCGGCAGCGGTAGAAGCGCACCGGCGTCTGCCTCGTGGACGACAAACGGCAGCCAATCAAAGTGCACACCGGCAGAAGGGGGCGCGAGCATCGCGCAGAAGGCCGGGTCGTACAAGAAGAGTGGGTACGACTCAAAATGCTTCAGCTTGTTCCGTCGGTCCCGCCGCCACCTCTCGCGCGCGTGCGAGAGGTCGCCCGTCGCCATGAGTAGCTGGCGACATTCGCCGGAGACTGGCACCGCCGAGCCGTCCTCTAGTGGGTGGAGGTTTTTCTGCGGCACATCGGCAAATGTGATCGACTTTGCGTGGAGATGTGCGTCGTTCTCGCACAGGGACTTTCGCACGCCCGTAAAGAAGTTGGCGTCGGAAAGAAACGCGGTCATCAATGGGCCACACGCAAATTTTACTTGCGGCAGGCGCGAGAGGAGTTCCGTGACGGTGTGCGCAACGAAGGGGTGCAGCTCGGGCAGGACGATTGTCCGGATGCCTTCAAACGGGATTGCCATGCCGCTGCGTGTTAGGGCGGGGCGCAGCACGGCGTCCACGAAGCGCGAGGCCTGCGTCGCGTCCTGCGCGCCTGGGAGACCAACGAGGACGCTCTGCGCCTGCTGAAAGTCGAGGTCGTCGCCCCCTGTAGAGGCAAGAACGTAGACGCCACTCGTCAGCGGTGGTTCACCCTCGGCTGAGGCATCCACGAGCAGCGTCGTGTGCCGCGCAGCCTTCTCGAAGTCGCACGTGACGTATAAACCCGGCGGGGCGTGTCGCAGGTACGCGGGGGTGCGGCGGACCTCATTGACGAGCTTCGGCAGCGCCGTCTTGTGCAGGCGACTCAGTCGCAGCATACCCCCCACACCACAGGGCGGCAGCAGCGGTGAGGAGCGTGTGGGTATTACGGCTAGGAAAAACCGACACTGTGCGGCGGGCAATCACAGCGGGAGGACAACCGCACATAAATGCATAAAAACATTTATTTGTTTATTTTTACAAAAAGGGGGAAGTAGGCACAGAGAGAAAAGTACATTTGCATGCATCGAGGCCACGCTGCTGTGCAGCCTGTTCTGCGCGTCTGCGAGGGAGAGGGAAGCGGCGAGCGAAGGGTCGGAAAGTAGAAAAGGGGATTAAATAGAAATATAAAAATAAAAAAGGCATCGGCACCGACCACGACGACGACGCAGTTGCGTCGTAGCGGTCCTCCGCCCTCTTACCGGGAATTTCTTACGGCTCCCTCCCCCCGCAGTCACCCAATCCTCGCTGCAGGGATTTACACACACACACACACACGCCCAAAGGTCTACCCGCTAGATCTCTCACTTCCGCCACGGTTCCTTGGAGGACTTGGCGTAGTAGCCCCCCATTGCGCCGAAGAACACGCCAAGGACCGCGCCGAACGTCGTGCCCCCCTCGTTACTTCCGCCCTCAAAGACAACAAGCGCCCCGCTAACTGCGGCCGCTGAGAGAGTCGCGGCCGCAATCGTTGGGCTCACGGGTGTTACGATGAGGTGGAAGATGCCAAGAATAGTCACGCTTGTGGAAAGCGCGGCGCACGACCCGACCACGACTTTATCCGTAAACTGGCGCCTCGACAGCTGCACTGGGGAGAAGCGCTGGCTCACTGCGGGGGCAACCCACCTATGGCGCAGCATTTAGAGTAGATGCTTGAGTACACACCGTTTCTCTCTTCCCACCACCACCGCCACCGCCACCCAAAGAACAGAAAAGAAAACAAAAATTATCCCGTGGGACAAGGAGACACTCGGCGAGATGGAGAGTGCAAGAAAGGAGGGAGGGGGGGGGGAAAGACACGATGCAACAGAGAGTAAAGGAATCGGCTTCGTAACGCCAGCAGGAGCATTCACGTTCTCCTTACTACTCAAGTTTACTTCAAAGTGATATTTTTTAGCATCAACTGAGACCTGACACAGACACACAGTGCGGTATTACACGTGTTTATGTTCTTCCCATGCATGTCACAAAGTACGCATGAATGTATGTCATGCACGCCGCTCCTCCTCTTTTCTTTTCCCGTGAAGAATGCAGCAAGAAGTACCCCAGCAGGTGTGCTGGGGGGCCAATTAACACTACAGCTCCTATGGGAGCATCCATGACTTTTATTTTTATTTTAATATTTTTCCTTTTTGGTGTTGCTTGTTCTCCTCCTCCTTCTAAACAAAGTGAATGCCATTCGTCGTGAAGTGGCAGAGCAGTTTCGTGATGCTCTCCTGGTCCAGAACCCGTGCCCGGCTGTCAAACACAGGGTCCTGCATCACCGTCTCTAAGTGCTCCTTGAATTCAGCGAGGCTCTTTGCACTGGTGGCCCCCTCCATCTTCTGATAGCTGCAGTACTTCTCATACAAGGTCTGAACGGCGTTCTTGGTGCGGAAGATGGAGGACACCTTCTTATTCTTCCTATTAAAAATAAACTTGACGAGTCCGTCCCACTCCTCAAAGTCCACATCCGGCGCGGGGTGCTTTGGGTCGAGGCGAATCACGCTGGACTCCACCTTGGGCGGGGGTTGAAGCTATTCTTGCTGATCTTCATCAGGTGGCTGCAGCGCGCCAGCAGCTGGGCGTTGACCGAGAGACGGCAGTACGCCTCGGCGCCGGGCTGGGCGCAGACGCGCAGGGCAAACTCGCGCTGAAACATCAGCACAGCGCACTTAAACGTCGGCTTCTTCAGCAGCTTAAAGACGAGGGCGGAGGAAATGGCGTACGGCACATTCGCCACGCACTTGTCAAAGTAGGGGAACTCGTGGTCGAGGCAGTTGCCCCGGATCACCTGCAACTTCGAGGCCAGCGGGGTGTTTTGAAAGCGTTTGTTGAGCTCCGCCACCATGCGGGGGTCCACCTCGAAGGCAATCACCCGCTTCGAGGCCTGCAGCAGCTTCTCGGTGAGGTTCCCCGTGCCAGGGCCGATTTCTAACACCACGTCGGTGGGCTTAATCGCCGCCTTCTCGACGATGGCGGTGATGACGAGGGGGTTCTTCAGGATGTGCTGCCCGAAGCCCTTGTTGAACACCATGCCGCTCTGGCTGCCGCCCGTCTTGAGCCCCACCGGCTCGCTCTTCTTCGCCGACTTGCGGGGCGCCGTCTTCCCCAACGTGGAGACCCGCGTGGCGAACTTCAACTTCTTTGAGGCCGCATGCAGCGGCTCCGCGGTGATGACGCCCATGGGGACCGTACGCGCCCCCTTCTGCATCCTCCGCGGCCCCTTTTTGCGTCTCCTTTTTTCTTCTTCTTCTTTCGCTTTTTTCGCCTACTTCAACAAACGCGGGCGAAGAGATGCAGCGGACGCACCCAACAAAAAGTCCAAAAAGCAGCATATAAAAAATGTATTTACAAATTAAAAATAAATGGGGCATGAGGAAGAAGTTAGAGAAAATAAAATCTGGTGGAAGGATGTAAAACACTTCGGCCGCAACCCTCTTGCAGTGCATGTGTCCCGTTTGCTCCACTCTCACAGTGGCTCCGAGACAGGAAGGTGCCCAGGTGCATGCATGCGTATATATATATATATATATGTATATAGCTACGACCAGTCTGCAGAGGAGGAGGAGTAAAAGCGAGAGAGGAAGGGCCCCCGCTGCAACCAGTCACAAAACAACCCACGCTATGCCGTTGCGGCCACGCCGGCCATCCGTATTCTGCTCCGCAGGAACAACAGCCGCAGAGAAAAAATACCCTGCATCGCTTGGAATCGCCGAAGGCGTTATCGGCGATGCAAACGAGGGGGCATCGTAAAACACCACTGAGGCATTTTCTGGAAAATTGACTGGGGGTAGTTGGGGGGCTTCCACGGGTAGAGTTCCAGCTGCTGCCGTGTCGCTGTGCTCATTGGCGAGACCGCTGGACGACACAACTCCGCTTGAGGCCGACGCAGTGGCATCCGCAGCGTGTTCCACCGCCGAGTTCCAGCAGCGCTCCATGAAAGACAGCGCCTGGGCATCGGCGGCGGCGGCGGTGGGCTCCGGAACCACGTAAAACCTCGGGCCGCCGTCGTCCCTGACAAACGGACGCAAATACGCGATTGCCTCCTGCGCAGTGAGGCGCATCGTTCAGCAACGCTCCCTCTTGCGCCCCCACCCCACTCTCACTCGCTTCCTCCAGTTCTAGTATATATATATATATATTTTTTGCCTGCGTGTCTGGCCCCCTTTCAGCTACTTGAGCGGCGATGACAAGAGGAGGAGAGGCGCACTCGTCGCCTCCCCCCAAGAGGGCGGGGGCATGCCGTGACGTCCCGCGCACTCGCGTGCCTCCCAGCCTCACCCACACAACAGACTCCGCGGCCAACGCCGCGGACCCGCAACAAGCACGCAGCTGACGGCAAGAGCCGCTGGACGAGGGAGGAGGAGGAGTGGGAGTGTTTGGGTCCGAGCAGAGGAGAAATTGCGGACGCGAGCAGGCGTCCAAGTTTTGCGGCAGAACTAATCAAGGCCGCTGCACCAAGGGCGGACAGAACCACTCCGTCCACTGCCAAACCGGAAGACTGACACACACTGACACACACACACGTACACAGAGATAGAGAGAGAAAAAGAAAACCGCGGGGGGAGAGGGGGGAGTGAGAGGGAAATCACTGCGGGAGGAAGAATAATGGCGCCCCTGCCTGAGAGGCGTCAGGCTTGATTCTCCGCGGCAGGTGCGCCACGTTTCGCCAAAGTTTCCCCTTTCGCCTCATTCCCTTTGCCGCTTCGGATTGGACTCGGCACGCGGGCGCCTTCCCCGGTTGGGGCCCGAGGAGTAGTTGCGCCAGCACTACTTTTCTCATGACATACAGTCCCGCTAAGTATTTCCGCCGCGGAGACGGAATTCCCGGCCTTTGACTTGTGGACCGGCGGGGAGGCGGCGCGCGTCGTCTTCGGGGTCCTGCACACAACGCACGTCGTCGCCTGTGGCCTGTTCACGTACGTGCAAATGTGGCAGGACCACGCCGTCGATGTTCGCTGCGGCGATGGAACGGCCTTCACAGGCACCTCCACGGGACTAATTAAAATGATGTCTTCCGGCCGCGGATCAACGAAGGCAACCTTCTTGCTCTCCACCGCAAGGGCCCGCATCAGACTTTTGCCGGTCACCTTCTCCACCAAACCCGCAAGTTTCGCCAGACTCTGCAGCTCGGGAACGTCGACGAACATGCGCGAATACTCCAGCAAGGTCAGACGCGCCAAACGGCGCACCTTTCGCCTCTCTCCGCCCTCCGCTCGTGCAACGGCGAGTTTAACTAATTTTTCATGAAGTGCGTGGTCGGCCGACATCGCTGCGTGGAAGGAGAAGCTGCAGGCGTCCACAATTTTCTCAAGCAGATGCAGGTAGGCGTACGCGTGCGGGGAGCCCGTGTGGAGGTGTTCGCGCAGGACGCTCAGCACGACAAGGGGGTGCTCCTCCACCAGCGAGAGGCACTCCCTCGACAGCTTCCCGGTAGAGGCGCTCTCCGCGAAAATGACCTTCGACACGTGATACCGCAGCCTAGTCTCGGCGAAGGCCCGCCTGAGGAAATCCATTTTCCGCGGCGGCGCGAGGCCCACAACGGCAGCAGGCACCCTGCACGCAACTTCACTCCCCCCGCCCAGCCCCATCCCCGCCCCCCACACACACAGACACGCAAAGGAAGAAGAAGGCAAGAAACGAAAGCAATCGAAAAAAAAAATAGGCCGCGAATCAATTGAAACGGACAAGAGGGGACCAATGACGACAATAAGAAAAGGGCGCAGCTAGAGGGCAGGTGTGGGTGTGTAAGGGAGAAGAAGAGGGGGAGGGAGAGAGAATTGGGGTGCCTCAACGTCACTTCTACCGCCGACATTGCCCAACACCCCCCACCCTCCCAACATTCGCTACGCCGCAGTGTGATATCTCACTTTCCTGCAAACTCGTACGCTGGGAGCGAGCTCGCGTAGCTGGCGCCGCTGGCGCTGAAAATCGGCTGATCCACCTCCGCGTGCAGCTTCCGCAGCTCGGGGTGTATAAACTCCGTGTAACTGCGCGTGCACACGTCGTAGAGCGTCATCAACAGGGCCGCTGGAACTGCGTTGAGCATGGGTCGACTGGTGAAAAAGCCATCAAAGACCTTGGTGATGCCGTGCCGGGCCCGCACCTCCCGAATGTATGACCGATACGTGTGCGGCCTGCCCCGCGTGAATTGGTTGCGCAGGTGCAGCTGCTGCTTAACGGATAGAAAGGGATACTGCAGAAAAAGTCCCAGCACGGCACCCAGGTGGCAGTAGAGAAACAGCATGCAGGTGTGGTGATACACGCCGTCGTAGCGTGTCGCGTTGTACACCCCAAACTGGGCGCCAAACTGCACCAGCCGACCGCAGGCCACGGCCGTCACGCCACGGTAGACGCCAAGCAGCACGGAGGGCTTCTCTCGCAGGGCCGTCTTCACGACATCCCCCACGCCCTTGAATTTCTTGGGTCCCCCAACGGCCTCGGATGTGGTGCGCAGCACGTCGTACGGGTGCCGCACCGCCGCGTACATCACGCCGGCGAGGCCGCCGGCGGCAAACCCTCGCAGGGTGTTACCGCCCCACGGCAGCCTCTCGCGCAGCCACGTGAAGCTGGCGAGGAGGAAGACGTACTCCAACATGCTCCACAGCAGCGGCTGCCCGGAGAACCAGCGGACACTGAATATTGTGCGGAAGAACTGCGCCCGCTTGTCCGAGGCGTAGATACGGTTCGACTCCCCTGGCACGTCGCTTAAAAAATAGAAGGCGTCCATTTTGACGAGCGGACGCTTCAACAAGGCGGTGGCGGCAGACACCCCCAAAACGACGGCGGAGTGCTGCACGCGGGTGAGCCTCGGCTCCGTGTACCCCTGCACCCGCACCCGCGGCTCCTCGAACTCCGCCGCAGTGCGCAGGGCGTAGGAGGGGTGGTAGCCCGCGGTGCCACTCGACGCCAGCATCCAAAAAAACTGTGCGCGTAACGCTCCTTCGTGTGGGTGGGAGTGAACGCCGCACGAAACCAGAACGATCAAGAGGGGCAAGGGTCGCGAGCAAAAGAAAAAAAATAATAATAATAATGAACTTTGCTTAACCGGAGAAGGAGGGCAGAGACGTACCGTACGCACACACGCACACACACACAACAAAAAAAAAGCTTTTCCGCCGTCTCCAGCAAAGCAGAACCCACACAGACACAGTCTCGTCATGGCTTCTGCAAAGGGATGGCCTTGCGGTGTGCGCTCACGGCCTCCATCATGTGTAGTCGCATGTTCACCATGCGCTCTTCCAGCTCCAGCTGAGCCAAATCCCTCTCCATCAAGAGGCGCTCCTGTTCTTCCAGAGTTTGGCGCAGTGTGGCGACCTCCTCAGCGTAGTCCTCAATTCGTCTCCGCAGCTGCGCCTCAAGCGGGGCGGATTCAGCGCCTCCGCCCTCGCGGGGCACGCCGACAGCAGCTGGCTTGCCGCGCAGCGTCGTCGCAGCAGACGCCGGGGCGTGTACCTCCGCGTCGAATGACCGCAGGTAAGCAAAGTCGTTAAGGTAAATGTCGGCAACGCCACTCTTCACGGAGTCCAGCGGCGGGGGGGTTTGCTCCCTCGCGCCACGATACACGTTGCCCGGCGACGGCGACGGCGACGGCAACGATAATATTGCCTCGTCGCCATGGCTGTGCTGCGCCCTCGTGCTCAGCCCCGCCAAGGGCCTTGCTGCCGCCTCCAGCACGGCCATGTTGTCCTCGCCGGCGACGCGCCTCGCATTGGGCGATGGCCCCGACGAAGACGAGCGGCATCGCGGGCCGCCTGACGGCGCCTCCGTGGGCAGGCCGCAGTTACTTGCGGGCGCGTCTGGCAGCGTCCAGCGCCTCCCCAGCCCACCACAGCTCACGAAGAAGATGCGTCCTGTCTCACGGTCGGCCTTGACGCGCCAGCAGGAGAGCCGGTCCTCCAAAGTGCACCCACGCGGGATGTAATATGCCCGATCGCCCACATGCGTCAGGCAGAAGGTGGTGCTCCCGCGGATGATGTTCTCCGGTAGCCCCGCAGGGCCGCCTAACATGAAGCAACGCGCGTGCCGCCACCAACAGTGCCCCCTCTAACCCACCGCAGAGGCGTACCCCATCCAAGCCGCCAAATACAAGGGTGGGGGAAGGCGAGGGCAACAGAGAGAGAACGAGAGAGAACGAGAGAGAGAGAGCGAGAGCGAGAACGGAAAAAAAAAAGAAGGGATAAAAGTTGAGCTAGAAAAACAAGGAAAGCACACCGCGCAACATACAGGTTACGCTTCGACGCGTCAAAATAAGGCACATCCCCTCCTTTGTTGTTGTTGTTTTTTTGCCTCCAAACAGAAGCAAAGCGTCGGCAGGATTCTATAGCCGGCGGGAAGGCAGTGCCCAAGGCGACCTAGACAATACTTGTTGACATGGGGTGTGGGTGTCGGGCGTAGTATACCTCACCAGACCCAGCGATCATTGTCTAGGCATTGCGCCGTAATCTCTGCCCCCCTGGAAGCAAAAAGCTCATCAAAGTAGTCTCTTACATCACGCTCTGCGTTGGCCAGTGGACGATCAAAGCGCCGCCCGGGCCCAATAAGACCCGTTTTCACACTGAACCTCCGAGGTTCATCGGAGGATGGGTTCGGCTCGAGGCCAAGGATCACTAGCAGACGGTCGAGCTCCGCGGGCTGCAGCACCGTCACGAGGGGCTCCGACAGCGTCACATCCTTCGTTGGCATGTGGCTTGGGTATTCCGACAGCGTGGAAGAATAGACACTGTACCATGCGTCAAGCGCCATGGCAGTGAGCTCACTTTTAACACGATACTCCGAGTCATCTGTTGCTTCCTGTTCCTGACGGAACGATCCATGAGAGGACCGGCTTTGCCGCTCCTGCTGCTGCTGCGCTGAAGACACGCTGCGGCGGGAGGAAGCCTCATCGCGCGCCGCCGGGGTGGCGGTCCCAAAGTATCGCATGGCCTCCTGAAAGGGATGGGGCGGACTCTGCCGCGGTAAACCTCTTCGTGAGTAGGCCCGACGGGAGGCCCCACGGTGCGGCACGAGGCCCAGGAGTTTTGCCTCACGGACGTTGGAGGAGTTGCAGTGGTGGCCAAATTCGTAGTCGCGCGAGAGCTCGAAGAGTTGCTTGTCCATCAAAAACAGCTGATGCTGTCGCGCTCGCCCCCTCCTCATGCGATCCCGCGTGGAGGAGCCGTCATTTAGCACCTCAACTTGCATGGAAAGTGCCACAGGGACTTGCAGGTTTCGCGGGTTCAGTCGGTCGCCCGAGAGACGCAGAGAGCTGCACCAGAGCAGGCAGGGTCTATTGGCGTCGTCAATTTTGAAGTTCAGCACGATGCGGGTGATCAATTTGCGGTCGGTGAAGAAGACGTGGTCCACCACCTCTCGGCAGAGGGACTCCAGCCTCGCCTTGGACTCGTCCGCGATGAGCGACAACTCACTCAGGTGGCAGTCGCCGTCAAACGTGGCCGCGCGCACGTGGGCGGGAAGGTGCAAGTCGCCTAACCGCTGCTTGTTTGTCCGCTTGTACACAACCGTCATCAGCGGCGACCACATCACCTGCAGCTGCGAATTTTTTCGCAGCGTCAGATCCCCCTTGGGCAACACAAACTTCTGCAGAATTCCATCCGGTTTGCGATCGTGGCCAAAGAGGAATTCACGGAGCGACTCCGCCGTGAAGTACTCCACGTAGCTGAGGAGCCCAGACTCCGGCGCGAGGGCGGGGTTGTCCTGGGCGCAGGTGGTGAGGAACTGCGCCACCACATCGCAGTCGGGTGTGGAGTGGCTGAAGTGCTCATAGATGGACTGGGCGTCCAGCATCTTGCCCGGGTGCTTGTTGATCTCCCGCGCCTCCCCGTCGTAGGTGTACCAGGCGCGGGGGAAGTTGTGCTCGTACACGACGGTGTCCGGCAGACGGACGCTTTTGAGTCGGCTCTCGCTCCCCTTATTCTTCTTCCACAGGTGCATGTAGAGGAGCGGCCGCAGCCCGTCGCCCTCAAGCGGGTGCTGCTTCACCCAGTCACTGCTGTACTGCACCCTGACCCCCGCGGGAGAGACGTAGCCGCCGCGGTACGACGGAACCCCCACGCATGGCTTCCCCGACATCCTCCCTCGCCCTCTATCTCTTCCTCTCTTTTTCTATATATATTTGTGTAGCGCTCTTCGGCGCGCCCCCAAGCCTCTAAAGAAGAAATACGTGGCAGGGGAAACCCAAGAGGCCGGGTGGGAAGGCGAAAAAAAAAGAAAACAACAATCGTGGGGGCAAGAGAAAGAATTGCAGCACGTCTAGGGGGTTGAGGGCGTTGTACTGGGCGCATGTGTGTGGGCACAACAAAGAGGCGGTGCGGCACCGCGCAGCAGCCACAGCGAGCGTGAGGCAGTGTGTGTGTGTGTGTGTGTGTGTGTGACTCTCTCTCTCTCTCTCTTCCTCTCGCATGGAAGTAAGAGAAGCGGTTCAGTCACCACTGCATTGCTTTTTTTTTCTTTTGCCTTGTTTCTTGCGTTTTCTATCCCATCGCCATCATCGCCGGCCGACGCTTCTCTCTTCTTTCCTTCCACTCCGCCACCTCTCTCTCTGCGGCAAAG